AGTCTGATAGACTGTCTATCATGCCCTGTATTTAAATCACTGTTATTCTGCAGGATGTCCTGTGACGAAGAAATCACTATATTACTTACTTTCTAAAAATAAATTTGTCAAAAATGTCATAGCGAATAAGCAGCCGTCAACAGCAATTTGTATCCAGGACATTTAGCAGTCAATTCCTATAAAATATTATTCGCTGAATCCGAAAATGTCTTCAAAAGTTATAAAAGTAGGACAGTTTTTGAAATATAATCAATTTTACATATAAACAATTGACTATATATAGATATATCTCAAAAACTACTTAACTTTTATAGTTTTTGACGGTCTTTTCGGATTCAGGGGGCAAGTTTACATAAGAATTGGCTGGTAAATGTCCGGGATACAAATAGAGAATGATATTGGACATATATGACTTAGATAGTTATAATTATCTATCTATCTATCTATTGATTTGACTTTAAGGTAACTATTTATAGAACTCTTGTTTTTACAGTATTAATGTTAATTGTCTAATAAATATAAACTGTATACTTTACCCTACAATTTTTTATTGTTTTTTAAATGTCGAAACGATTACACTAAAGAAAAAATGGTATTGTATGCTTATTATCTAGTTCAATTTGAATACCGACGATATTATAAAAAGTAATTTAATCAAATTATGTGAATCTAATATAGTATTTACTTTTGAAATTGTTTGTTCAATGACTGTAAAATATTGCAATATATTAATTACAATTATTATTGGATTACAAACAATAATTACCATTATTACTTCATATAGAAGAAAACTAGGTATATCCATTAAACGAGTTAGTGTAAATAGAATATACAAAGTCGTTAACGAAACTCACCAAAATTACAAGAAAACATCATATGTACAAGCTTTTTAAATATCAAGGTAAAACTCATCACAATCAAGCATGAACAGCATTGTGAAATTACTTTTATGAAAACATTGTTTTACGTGGCTTTTTTGGTCCATAATCTTGTTGTATTAACGATCAATCATCCTGATTAATTTCACGGACTTTCCCCGAAGCCAAAAAAACAAATGGCATTCAGTTTTTTGACCGCACGTTCGAACCTACGTAGGTAGAAAATATTTGGAGTGTTTGAGATACACTTGAGACGTTTTGTTATATTGTTTATGTGTAAATAAAAATTAGTGCAAATAATGCGTCCAAATAAATTATTATATTATACAGATTGTTCCAAATAATTGTATTTAAGATTTAACTGATAATTAAAAACTGTGAGGCGATTTTAACCTCACTTTTTCCATAATCTGACATATGTCAAACGGTTTTAACCTTACTTTTCCCCAATTTTAACCTAAAGCTAACTAGCCCGTGTATTATAGTATATTATGTATCAAGTTTGATAAACGCCAATTAATGAGTGTATAGAAAAGTTTATAAACGAGGTGCATACTATACTTTTTCTACGACAAATACTTAATATTATCTTAAAATGATTTAAATCAAAAATTTGTTTAGAGCCCCATCTATGAAACAATAGGGAAATCTGTGTGTAACCGTCAAATGTCAAATTTCTATTTATAATAACAGATTATAAAGGTTATAAATCGAAATGTATTTCTTGAAAATTGACAGTTTTTCACAGTAAAAGTAAAGAAAATGTTTTATGAGCACTTTACAATGGAGTCCGTGCCCGAATTTAAGTTATAGTTTACTGCCAAATTAAAAGGTCAGTACAATGTTCATATAAACTTTTCAAATATGGCGTTGAGAAACTATTTAATACTTTTATTGAGATAATAAAATAATTTTCACATTTAGTATTATTTTACAAGAAATGCACTTTATTTTAACGATTGTATGACATTTGACAACTGTCAACTAACTTAAAACTAACTTCATCCCGTGACTAAAAACCTGTTGCCAACTTCAGCCCGTGACTAAAGCGCCATAAAGCCACAACTTGTCAATGTGTATTTAAAAGGTCACTTAGTGCCATGGAAACATGTACAATAAAGGGCGTTTTAAAGGTGGGAGTAGAAAAAAATTAATTATTGTTTTATCTGTATCATTAACTTTAAATTAACAAAAAACGACCAATCCCTGTTGACAAGGACACTGTAAAAATTCTTAATGGTTTAATGGCATACCCATTAAATATAGATTGGGTAGCTGACAATTTCTAACAATGCGTTATAAAAACCAATGATTAAATAAATAAATATCAGAACAAGGCCGTTAAACCTAGCTTAAATGTTTATAAAGTGAATGTTCACTTTCTTATTGTGAAAAGTTAATAAAATTAAAAGAATTATGATAGTTTTAAAGTTTTTTTGCAATAGTGTGCCAATTATTTTTATTTATTTTCTGGAGACTCCAACCACAGCAAGACAACGAACCTATTTTTATTTTTAAAGTATTTTTTGGCTTGTACACAATGTCATGTAGGTTAGATATTTTAATTTTTATCCAACTTAGCAGATACCTAAATAATAGTTACCATTGCATTTCTTTATATATCCGCGTACAACGCCACCGTATCTAGTTATCCTTGACATTTTATCATTCAATTTGTTATACCAAAATCGTGTTCGTTTTGCCCAAGAAAAATATGTAAATGCTTTGCTGATTTTTTTTTGACTGAACAATAACTAAATTTAAAATTGTTACGTAGCTCCTAATTATCTGTCAAACAGTTAATAGAAATAAATTATGTTAAAACAATCATATAAAATTGTAACTAGGTAAAACTATGTAGGTATTGCTGTAACAGTAAAATTATTTATATATGCAATATATAATGCAAATATTACCGTAAGAAAACTTGATTTTTTTGTTAAGCCACATAAACCATGGTTTCGTGCGTATAAAATAAAAAAAACAGTTGTTTTATTTATTTGTTATTACTCGCAATCAGTGCAGATTTAAATACGTCTTGCACGCCCAACCTAAAAAACTTAACTGTTTGTTAGTGGGTGAATAAGTATGAAACTGTATCATTTTTTTGGTATTGCATGTAGGTTTTAACAAGATAAAATAACGTGTATTTGCATTTAATATTTTATATTAGTAGGTACGGTATTTCTATTTATGTTATAGAAAGAAGTATATTTATAATTAAAGTATAGTACCTATCACACAGTACGACAAAATTTAATTTTTTCCCTCCCATAAAAAATTTCTAGAGATTTTTAAAATCATTTTTCAAATCATATTATTTTTAAGTTTTTTAAACATTTTATTTACTGAATCTGTTGAAATCTGTTCTGAAGGTTCTACGATAATTAATTCGAGAAATTAATTATTAAAATGTTTTAATTTTTCACAAGATGCGTAATATTTTTTTATTAATTTCTTAAATAACTCCTTAACCTGTACAAATTATTTAAGCGAAACTTTGTTTCTAAACTGATATAGTTATTGGACACTTAAGGTAAATTATTTATTTAAAATTTATATATGCCGTTGATTTAAAGATTTTAGTTTTTTTCTTATGAGTATATAAAAAGGATAGTTTGTTTGTTTAAACTTTTTTTAAGTTTACTTAAAAATAAAAATATTCCAAAAAGTATAGTAATTGGACATTTTATATAGTAATTGGACATACAATTTTTATATAAACATAACAAATAACATAAATTGTTAAATATTTTTTAAAGATAAATTGCTGTTTTAGGTAATTTTTTTTATTTCGTTTTTGTAAATATATAATTCATATATTTCTTTCTCGGATTCCTCATCCCTTTTCTGGATTCTAAAGGTAACTACTAATTCCTTGGTCTGACTTCTGAAATAGTTTGTTGCAAATATCATTAATTGTGGTATCTCTAGTTTGTGAAGCATTTATAATGTTTAGGCCAGACCAGGATGATTTATTTATATATCTAATATTTTTCGGGTGGTATGTTAAAAGTATTTTCCGAATTTATTAATTTTGTTGCCATTAGTTTTTTTATGTTCTCTATCATGCACTGTATTTAAATCACTGTTATTCTGCAAGATGTCCTGTGACGAAGAAATCACTATATTACTTACTCTTTAAAAATTAATTAGTCAAAAATGTCATAGCGAAAAAGCATCCACTTATAATTCTCGTCAACAGCAATTTGTATCCAAGACATTTAGCAGTCAATTCCTATGAAATATTAATCACTGAAAAGTTATAAAAGTAGAATAGTTTTTGAAATATAATTAATTTTACATATAATATGGAATGGACTATATCTCAAAAACTGCTTAACTTTTATAGTTTTTGACGGTCTTTTCGGATTCAGGGGAAGATTTTACATAAGAATTGGCTGGTAAATGTCCGGGATACAAATAGAGTATGATATATATATATATCCAATAATAGAAATAGAAATAGAAATAGAAATTTACATTTTTTACCAACCAGTAATTGGACACTGGCCATTTTACAGTTTGTTTTCAGAATTAAAATTAAAACGCATTAAAGTGAAAATGTTTAAACCATGAGGAACACATTTATACCATACACTTATCTATACACTTTTTAAAAATATTTTTATTGTATTATTTATATCTGTCAGCTGAATTATCATTTTGACATGTGTCAAGAAACCTTTAAAGCTAAGATTTTTTTGTTATTCTAGCATATATATCAACTACACAAAATTTAAGGAAAATCTAAGTTGGTTTACTTAATTAAGTATAGGTATATTTTTATTATAAATATACAGTATAATACGGAAGATATTTTTTTCTCAAATTTACATAAATTAGGACCTGCTATTGTATAGAAAACCAGTATTTGTTTTTAAAAAACGATTTTTTAATTATTAAAATTTTATGCCACGGTCTTGTACAGGGCGGTCCAAAAGTAATGGGACACGGAGCAATAGCGGATCTTTAGTTCGAAATAAGATACAGGGTAATTTAGGGTTTTTTTGAGGCGAGAAATACAAATAATAATATATCCTTAAATATTTCATTAAATTAAAAAATAAAATATTGTTGAATTGGTTATTTTAATTCAACAAAAATATAAGTTTCTCTTACCTTCCTCCATAAATATTTTCGGTGAGTGGCGAACTTTCATCATCCGTAAAATTGTCATCACTATAATTATTATCACTGTTTCTTAACCCATTTGAAGTCATTTCTGAAATTAAAAAAAAACAAAGTTTAATTAACAAATTAGACACTGTTAAGATTTTAATCTTGTTATACCTTATCGAAATATTTGTTAAAAATACCACAGATATCTCAGACATTTAACAAATACACAAATTAAAAAAACTGGTTCCAAACTTTTACTTATTATCAAAACCAGCCACCAACTAACTTAGCCACATAATAAAGTTTGCATATTTCAAATTACCCACTTTTTCGCTATTTCTCATGGGTATTGCAACAACCTCCAATAAAATTCTCAATCATTTTGCAACTAAATTCGCATCCTGTTATATTTTCTGGTGATTCATCTGCACTCTATTTTATCTCTTATATCATCTGTATCAAGTGTTTTACTCATTTTATACGCCTCAAATTCTCTACACCATTAAACAATCGTGAGAAGATTGCCAAGCAATACATTTTTAAGATTCCACTTTTATAGGCTCTGCTGATGCAATGCATTAATTGACTCAATAGCCATATATCTACAATTTGTTCAACAGGTTGATTCGACAAAGCCAATAATAAACTGGAACTCGAAGAATCTAGTACTGAATTATTTATTCAGGTTAAATCTAATCTTAACCAATTTTTGTTAAACCCAAGAAGACTAAATACAGGAGATAACTACAAACAATTAGGATTATCTATCTATCAATTTATCGCTAATTTCATTTCTATCATGAAAATAAAACAATGGATGTATTTTTAGGTTCTAAATTTAAAAAATACCCAAAATTACATACACTGTGACTCATTTGTTTTAAAGTGTATTTCTTGATAAACTGTATTTTTGGAGCAAAAACCGCTAATTTACTTAAAAAACACCATATTTTTACAAAATACAAGGCTTACTATGTCAGTTTTTGATAGAAATTTTTTTTAAATTCATATTAGGGATTTAAAAAAATCTATGCACGGCACTGGATTTACCACCCCTCAAAACGACCCTATACTAAATTTTATTGAAAATTTTTAAGGAGAAACGATTTTGTAGCTAAGTAAATTTCAAAAATGTATTCTGTCAGGTTATCCATGAAAAAAACATTAAAATAGAATTAAACTTATACAGTGTGACCCATTTGTTTGCGACTCAACCCTGTAAAATCTTTATTTATTGTGCGATTTTAACCGGATTTGTTTTAAAGTGTAGATCTTGATAAACTGTATTTTTGAAGCAAAAATGCCTTATTTTTACAAAATACAAGGCCTACTATGTCAGTTTTTAAGAGTAAATTTTAAAGAATACATATTAGCGATTTTTTTAAACTAAATCCAAGCACGGCACTGTATTCACCACCCCTCAAAACGACCCTATACTAAATTTTATTGAAAAATTTTAAGAAAAAAAAATGCACAATAATATCTACAAAAATTTATTTTTTCAAGTTATCCATGAAAAAAACATTGAAATAAAATTAAACTAATAGTAACATGGTACTAAGATATTACAGGGGTGAGTCGCAAAAAAATGGGTCACACTGTATATAAAGGTTATTCTAAATTATTTTTATAAAAATAATTTAGAATAACCTTTATCCTACCAAAAAGTACTCCACTGATCGACTAGGAACTTTAGGCTAATCTGGTTGCCTAATTTAATTTATTATGTTATGGTTGGTAACAACCAGCGTTTCCAGATTCAGTCAAAAAAAGTTGCCAGATTTTGTTTAAATTTATCTTAATTATTTGTATTCAAACGTCAAAATGGGGTCGAGAATTAATTCTCCTTTATTTAGTCTTCTTGATTTTGTTTTTTTAAAATTGTCAATGAACTGTGAAAATATTTGAAACAGGAATACCAACATAGTCAAATTTGTCGAAATAAAAAAATCGTTTTTTTTTATACCATATGCTTTACTGTTTCTTATTTTCATTGAACGTTGTTTCTCAAAAATAGCTTTTTCTTTGTCGACTCCCTCGTTATCTCGGGACAGAAATAAATTCTTTGTCTTGTTCCTTTCAAGGCGACAATGTTTTTTTAATGCCCCACCCAATGGCAGGCATGTTTCAGAAAAAACTTTTCATAATTGTACAATAAAGCGATACAGATTATCAAGAACGACCAGTTTATGTGGACCACACCTCGTCAGTACAAAGGACTTCCGTAAAATAAAATGGGAATACTATAAGTAACAAAATTTGATAAAAAATAAGGTTAGTTTTTAAAAATTATATTTTTAGTAGAATTTTAATATTATTTTATTAATTTAAAATTCAAATTGCAAATTGAATAATTTTTAAATTATTAGAAAAATTATAAGACCACAAAATTTTTATATATTTTTTGGAGTGTGACCCAGGCAGGTTTTATTAATAAAAAAATAAACCCAATCTTAAAAATATTAATTAATTAATAACTTCAAATATGATTAAATTAAGAAAATGTGTTTTTTAATTATTATTGCAAAATATTATAACAAAGTATTAAAACTTCTTACACGGGAAATGTTAAAGGTACAAAAAGTGTCAGTTGTATTTATTGGAATTTCTGTTAAAATTTTTAACTTGGGTTAAAATCTTAAATTTTTCTGCGTAAATCAAAGTTTATCCCTTGAAAATATACTTACAATCGATATAGAAGCAGTTTTTCTCAGTAAAAGAGAAGAGAATGTTTATTTGGCACTGTACTACGGCGAAATCAAAAGGCCAGTAAAAACGTTCATATAATCTTTTCAAATATTGGCTTTAAGAAACTATTTAATACTTTTGTATTTTTGTATTGAGATAATAAAATAATTTTCACATTTAGTATTATTTTACAAGAAAGGCACTTTATTTTAACGATTTTAATAAAATGATATGATATTTAACAACTGTCAACTAACTTAACACTCATTTCAGTCCGTGACTAAAAACCTGCTGCTAACTTCAGCCCGTGATATTTAAAAGGTCACTTAGTGTCATGGAAACATGTACATGCGTTTTGAAGGTGGGAGTAAAAAAAATATATAAAATTTTAAATAAAAATCACATTTTTATTTTAATTGAATTTTTGAGGTTGTTTCGTTACTATTATAAAAAATGAATATTTTGATTAAAACGGTAAGAATTTTTACCAAAAATCTAACTGTTGTATTTTTATATAACATAAAAAAATAACGGAAAAGTTAAACAAAAAAATATCGTCAAAATTCGTAGTACTAAACTACAATTTAAAAAAAATATATAGCTATAGAAATTCAGGAATTCCGTCTAACAAATACATGTTACAGTCGTAGGAATTTTCAATTTTTATTTTCAAAAACGTTTTACACAAATCGACTATGATTACAATTTAAAACATATAAAAATAAACATAACCGACCAACATATTTTAATATACCTAACAAGTTTCACTTTTCATATAAGTACCCTCGGGCAGAGCTGCAAGCTCTCAGAAAACTTAAATCGTTTTTTTGATTTAAATCGTTTTAATGACTTAAGTCATTTGGTAATAAGTCATTTCTCTAAAACTGACTTAAGACTTAAAATTTAAGTAATTTTCAAAATGATTTGTGACTTAAATATTTTTTTCAAAATAGAAAAAACTTAAGTCATTTATAAATCAGTACATACGATTTAAGTCAAAAAAAGATTTAAGTCTTTTTGAAAAAGATTTAAGTCTTTTTAGAAAATATTTAAGTCAGATTTTTCATATATTTTTTTATAAATTTTTAACAGCGGCATTTTCTTTTGAACTGCCAGGGGTTCACGCGGCAGCAGATCAAAAACTCCTTTAATTTCCTACCTACAATTGCTACCGCTAGTGGATAAAAAAACCGCCGCGGTAAAGTTAGCTTTTTGGAACCGTTTGACGGCTACATTAAAAAATGTCCTGTCTAAAATGAATTAAAAAAAGTGGGGATTTATAATTTTGTTATTTTGTTTGCCAACATTCGTCCTGTTCGTGCGTAGTTATGTCTAATTTGTGATGATTAGTGCAAAGTGAAAACAATCTGAGCGGTCGTGAATCGAGAGTTTGGAACTTCCCATCATTACTCCCTTAAGGGAGGAATATTTTTTTTCTAGATGGATGTTGAACCAGCTAACAAAAGTCAACAAAACAACAAGTTACCAGTTTTTGAAATACAGCGATTTTAAGAAAAATCCTTCAACTTTTATCTATTTTAACAGAGTTTGAATCTACTACCGTTTAGAAGTTACCCATTTATGTATATAAAAAAGTAGCCTCCCTGTATGTCTACTCTACTAAAAAAGGTGGTTTAAGTTTTTATTTTTATTGTCTAATATATTCTCAAAAAATGTGTTTTAAGTTTTTATTTTGTTTGTAAGTGTTCTGAAAATAAATCGTTTTAAATTCTTAACATAGTAATTTATTATCATCTATATCTACAATAGATTAATAATATCAGTATCATTAATACCATAAAATTATTATTAACATTTAAAAAATCACAATTTTTGATTCAAGTCATTTTATTGACTTAACTCTTAGATCACGATTTAAATAAAAAATATAGTCTTAAGTCATAAAAACGACTTACTAAAGGAATTAAGTCATAAGATGACTTAAATCACTTTATATTGATTTAAGAATTTGCGAAAATGACTTGACTTGAAAGAAAATGATTTAATTCAAAGACTTAATACTTAAATCATTTGAACTTTATCTTAGAATTGACTTAAGATTTAAATCATTTTGATTTTAGAATTGACTTAAGACTTAAGATTTAAGTCTTTTTAAAACTGACTTGTTGCAGCTCTGCCCTCGGGCAATTTTGATTCAGACTCTAAATTGTACCGGTAATTCAAGCGTAGCAAAGCTGTGCACCATTGTGCCATGGTGGTTTTTTAAATTTTAAGTCGTGACATTTTGTGACGTAAAAACACCCACAGACTGTTCAAAAAACGAAAATAAAAGTGCAGTTTGCTAATTTAATTGTTCGATTCGATTAATTCGGTTATGTAAACTAAAAGAAAAAGTTTTATTTGTAGATAAGCGAAGTGGTTTGAATATTTTAACGAACAAGTTACTGTTTATAA